CCAGTATATAACAGCATAAGTAAAATGTTGTCGATTGGGTCTTTCCCGTTCCAAAGTCCAACCGTGTACACGTGCTTCTTCATCGTATTGCCTTGTAGTATATTCGTATGTCGCCGTCATTGTTACGTGTGGTCTTGGGCGACCTAAAAAAAACTCGTTCCCAAATTTATCCTTGCGTATACATATAGCAACTATAAACACAACACAGCGAAGATGTACCCCACATGTCTAATAAAAAAAAACATACATCAATTCTTATTGTTGATATTTTTTTTTAAATTTAGAACCGTGCCCTGGGCTGTGATTAGATGAAGCGATAAGTTAAACTGAAGCCTAGCGAGTGTTTCCGCCGAGAAGAAAAATAAAAATACACTTTTATAATATAATATACTTCATGTTAAACTGTCGACATAACATGCACGATGAAGAAAGAAGAAATAAGTAGACAAAAAAGAAGAGAAGAGAAGAGAAGAAAAAAATAAAATTTAGTTAATAAAATATGAATAAAAGAAAGAAGAAGAAAGCAAGTCTATAAACTCCCACGCACCTAGCATGTATATAACATAGTATTATATACGGTCGTGAGCAGACACGTGTGTAGTGTGTACAATATAAATATAAATATATATATATATATACATGAAACAAACTCGAGGTCCGCGGACTTTGGACTCGAGAGCGGTCTCTCTCTCTCTCTCTCTCTCTTTCTCTCTATATTTACGATGGCCCCGATATCTTCCCGTCTCTTCAGTCTTTCTTTGTTGTTATCATTTATCTCTTACTCTTCACCGTACCACGAGTATCTGAATCTTCATCAGTTGACAAACGTCGAATTACTGAATAAATTTATTTTTACATCAACATTATCATTAAAATAATATTATTAATTATACCTTGACATTTTTTACAGTAAATTTTTTTAACAATAAACAAATTCCATTTTAAATAAATATTTTTTCATTACAATATTTTATGTATTTATATTTATATTTACATTTTTAATTTACGTCGACGTGTTTTTTTTAAAATTAATTTTGTATAATAATTAAAATATGGATTTTTTAAATTCATATAATGAAAATACGGGTTTTGTTATTTTTCAAATGGTATTGTTAATATGATTTATGGATACATTAGGCTCTTGAAAAAAAAAAAAAAAAGGCTTCTTGAAAAAAACACTTGAGTATAGATAATAATCTAAAGTTCAATTTAAATTTTTAATCTAATGTATGGAAATATCTTCTAAGTATAAGTATGAATATTTAAATGTTTCAGTTTTTTTTTTTAATTTTATTTAAAAAATTGGTTATACGATGAGGAAATTAAAGCCTCAGTGGAGATATTTTTTTAATAATTGGAAATTTTGGCGATGATTAAATTATCGATTAAAAAAAAAATATTTGATTAATTTTGCGTATCTCCAAAAGTTTATCAAAAAAATTTCTAATTACTTATATTGGATTTTTGTTACATAAAAATTTATAACATTTATTGTAAAATTATTTTTATAAGAACGGCGCTATAACTAAAACTTAATTTGATTGAAAAAAAAATTTTTTCAGTTAAAGAAATTTTTTTCTTGATTTAAAATGATCACTCTTTTTAAAGTGATTTTTTTAGTTTGCATTTTTATCTCTTCGATTAAGTTAATTTTTTCTTTCTAAAGTACTTCAAATTGTCACTATAAAATTTAAAATATTTTTTATCATTGATTATTACTATCTATGCTCAATTGAATATAATAGTTTCACAAAATTTGTTAATTTCACTGTCAATCTCTAATCTCTAATTTTTTCTTTCATATAAATTCAACTTCAGCTTCTAATGACTGTCGATTAAATCTTCTCTTTGAAAAGATAATAAGAGACTTGGTAGTACATGAAATTCTCTACAAATATGTCACGTCAACGTCAGGACTTCAGCTTCTTTGACATTACCAAATTCCAAAGTTAAACTAACATCGTCTTATGTCAATTATTTAACCAAGCAATAAAAATTGCAACCTCGAGATTATAATACGGATTAAAACATAAAAATATACGATCATAAATTACTGGCATACATATTTATGATAAAATTTCCAAATAAAAATACGTCCGGTGAAAATAAATTTTCGTCGTATAGTTTTTAAATAACGGCATTATTAAAATGACAAATTGGTACACCAGCAGGCGGAATTTTTAACATTAGACTAATTGCCGGCGATTTGCATAATACAGACATTAACAAACAGTGTGTGCCCTCAAGAGTGACATTTGTAAAACAGGATAAATTTATAAAAAATAGTAGCAGTAGTATAGTGAATATAATAAAAAGCATAAATACAATGAAGGAAAGTACGGTTCAGTTCCATAGGCATAGACAGCCCGGTTTCATCCCTGGGAGTATAATGCCCCTGGTATCCGGCTGTTTAATCCGCCTGTGTACCTCCCTGACAATAGCGGGCATTTATCCGCGGACAAAAGACCCGTAATAGCCACTACATACAATACAGTCCATACTACACACTACATACGACGGGACAGGATACAGCGAGCATTATATATATCACACATACGAATAGAGTCTACCGGACTGGACCCCTTACCGGTAATTTGCTCCAAACCGATTATAGATACGAGTAATGGAGTATACAGTTCAAATTACTTCTTATTTCTTCTCTGATTTTATTTTTTCTTCTTCATTCTATTTCTTTAAAATTTATGGTGCGTTTTTCTCGACCGCGACCTGCAACACAATACTTGTAACACATCCTCTTTAAATCGAGCATCTAACAAATGAAAACACAAATCTAAGTTTGCTTTAATTTATGGCTCAGCTGTCGATACAATATAATACTAAATATTGTTTACACTTTAAGTCGCCAGCATCCCGCTAAGTAGATAGATATTTATTACATTGGACGGATTTTATTTGTTTTGTATATTAATATTGATTTTAAGCTCTTGCTCTTCTCATTGTTTTATCGAAGCAATGGCCTCAATAAACTACTCGGTAGCCGAAGAAAAAATACAGACTCGATCTATGGGTATACTTTTCTTTTTGTGAATAAACAAAAGTTTTAATTTATTTTTATTATTGTATTTTACACTCGCTATAAATCACTCATGTTATTTCTATTACTCCTCAAACTCAGTTCGCATTTTGAGAATGTATCTATCTATATATGTATTTATGTGTGTACGTATATTTGTGGAACAACAACACAAGACATAATGTAGATTCTGCCCTCTTGTTTCCCGTGGAATAATATACAACAGCCGAGTACAAGTTATGTATACGCTAAAAAATTATTACTGGTCTCTGGTGTAGTGCAGATAAATTCGTACAAAGTTTGCGCGACTTGGAAAAATTAATATGAGTTTATTGTAAGAAATTTTTAGGACAATTACTTGTATTTAAATCAAGATAATTTTTTCTATTTAAAGCAAGACGTATAAGTTCTTAAAAATTATTTTCGTCGTTCGATAATTTTTTTATTGAATTGAGTTTTTCTCTAAGTGGACATTTGGACGTAAAATTATTAAGTGTGAGGAAATTATAGAGAATTTTTTGGAGAAAATTTAAGGTAGCTAGTTATTTAATGTTATGGTTATTTGTTTTTTTTTTTTTTTTTTTTGCATAAAAAATTAAAATTTTTAATTATTATATTTTACGTCAGGTTTGTAATATTAATAAAGATAAATGTAAAGATAAATTTTTCAATTGGTTTTTAAACTTTTAATGTTATATACAATAATAATTTTGTCGATTGAAAATTTTTAATAAAATATGTCTATATTAGTTCAGCGATTTTTCTCGTACTTTACGTGTATTGAAATAAAAAATTTCAATTTTTCGATATTTTAATCATTTTTCCGAGAATTTTTTTTATCAAAAATTTTTTCAAAAAAATTTTTTTTTAATAAAAAAAATTGACATTTTTTCAAGAAGTTTTTTTTTTTTAATTATTTTTTATCAAAGTTTAAAAAAAAAAATTGATCATTTAGGAAAAAAATATCATTTTTATTAAAGTTTAAATTAAAAATAATTTTTGTATCAACAATTTTCCACATCTAGCAAAGTATTAAAATAACTCTACAAAGCATATAAAATTTTAATTAAATAATAGCGTGATTGAAGAGAATCTGTTGAATTTATATATTAGTATAGGATAGTATATTTTGGTAGACTTCCTGTCGCACCATCAGATGAACGACTGGGATGGTATTCAGATAATTAAAATAGAATGTGTGCTGATGGATGTGTGTGATACGAGAATGATACGAGAAAAAAAAAAAAAGAAACAAAGAAACGGAGGAGGTTGATCATGACAATGAAGATATATGACGTTTATTAGCACGATCACGTAGACAGTGGCCTTGCGTAAATTACAAGTTAAGTCTGAGTAACGTATTAAGACCGTCAGTACAGGTGTTTGCGGGGAAAAAACGGTCAATAATTTATATAATTACGCGGTATGGTGGAATTTGAATAAAAAAGCTGTCGCAATAAATAATCCGCTGGGAAACTTTATCTGTGTAATAAAATAATAAATAGAATAAAATCTATAAAGTTATTATTATTTTATTATATTATATATGATTGCGGGGGAAGTACTCAGGATTATAGACTTAATGTTAGATAAGTCACGGCAGGAACGATCATTGATATTTCTTGGGCTTGTTTACGTCCTTTTCATCCGGCTAAGCGTTTAAAGCGAATCACGTACGTGGGGTAGCGACCGGTTATTCGCGATCGCGAGTTGCCGTCTATGTACGTGAGTACGTGAGCAACACCACGTCCAGAAGATAAAATACTAATTTATACAGGTTTATTTTTATATCACGTCAACGGAGGAGAGTAAAAAAATCCGAGGATTATCTCTACTCGGCAATGTTTTCTCAACAAATTGCGAAAAACAATTATAAATTCTTTTTTTTATTACTTTTAGTTTATAAATTGCTTTTTTTATTTTTTAATTAAATCCTACGAAACTTTTTCAGATCGGAAAAAACAAAATGGAAAACTGGGTTATCAAGCCGGGGTCATCATATATTTAAATAAAGTTAAAAAACTATACTCGAAACAATTTATCAAACAAACGAAATATGTATTCGGAATAAAATAAACTCATTTAAATATTAAATTAATTCAATTTTTCTCTACCGGTGCCTCTATAATAACCCAATCTGAAATTTTATTAATAGACCGGACCAAAATAAACTTATAACTCGTTAAAGTTTAAACTTTATATTACTTTTTCATATTCATTTTTTTTCTTTTAAGGTAATAAATCAAGTTTTTTATTAATCGTATATTAAAATTCTTCTTTTTTTTTTTTTACAGGCTTGCAACTGTCTGGGAATAAGTAAAGAATGTGATTACTTTGGACTTAAATATCAAAATGCTAAAGGCGAAGAGCTCTGGTTGAATCTACGTAATCCTATTGAGAGACAAACTGGAGGAGTTGCACCGTTGCGGTTTGCATTGAGAGTTAAGTTCTGGGTACCGCCTCACTTATTGTTACAAGAAGCAACCAGGTAACTAATTAATACAGTATTTAGTATTTGTGCTTGTGAATGTACTATAACGTATTGTAGAAAATTACTGGTATTTTGGGTAGATTTATACTTTCAGTGATTAACTTTTTTTTAAAAAGTCTGATTGAATGATTAAAAATTTAATTTTTTGTTGCAAATTTTTATTTCATTGCATCTCTAATTTTTTAAACAGAACTTAAATTAAAAGAAAATTCTTAAATATTAATGATTCTAATTAAAAATTTTATCTAAAAAATTTATTACTAGATTGTGAATTTTTTGTCCTATATAAGTATTTAATAATTAATAATGGTAATATTTTTCTTTAAAATCAATATTTTAGGAGTTATGCTCATTTTTATAGTAACTAGATAATAATGAGCGCTTTTTTAAGTCATTGTATCCTAGAAAATATTGAAGATAAACATATAGAACATAAACATTTTTAATAGGAAATTTTCTAAGCTATAATTTTGACCTCATGGTTTTTTCCAAAAATTAATATTTCAGGAGTTATGACTATTTTTGTAATGATTAGATAGCGATTTTTCATTTTTCATTATCTAGACACTATCGAAAATATCACATCTTCTAAAATATTGGAGATAGGTCTGTGGAATAAAAACGTTTTTTATATAAAATTTTATGAGCTACATATTTGGTCTCATGATTTTTTTCTAAAATCAATATTTTAAGAGTTATGATTTTTTAATTACAATTTTATATACAATTTTTTAATTAAAAGAACCATAGTCAGAAGTAATTATAAAATCAATAATAATAATAATAATAATAATAATAATGACAATAATTATCAACAGACAATAATTGAACGGAATTTAATGTCCAATGTGAATTGTTTCAGACATCAATTCTACTTGCACTCGCGTCTGGAACTGCTGGAAGGCAGACTTAAAGTTACAGACTGGGCATCAGTTGCAAGACTAGTGGCATTGTTGGCGCAAGCTGAAGCTGGGGATTACGATCCATTGTCTCCACCGCATGGGCTTTATTCTCAGTGCTGTCAAATTCAGCCCAGCGGTCCTTGCGAACCGAAACCCCACGATTTTCTTCATCGAATAATTCAGCAGCACAAAGAAATAAAAGTGAGTTTAGTAAACTTTTTTCCTCATCCCGACTTCTCCATCTCTAATGCATAATACAAACCCCCATAAAAAAGTTTATTTATTCATTAACTTTTTTACTGTTATTATAACTTATGAGCACTTTGCAGGGAATGAAAGCTTCAACAGCTGAGTACTGGCTGCTAAAAGAAGTATCTAATTTGGACACATTTGGCCAGGAAATGTTTCACAGTAAATTTGGCTCTAACGCAGTCTCGATGATCGGCGTTGGACCGCACGGAATTACCGTTTACCGGGGAGAGAATGACGAAAAACAAAAGTAAGTAGTAATTATAGTTAATAGTTTATAATTAACAGCAAATGATTAATCAATTGAAAATATTATGAAATAGGTGTTCTAAAGATTGTTAAAATATTTATTTCAGTATACCTTACACGGCCATACAGAGTGCGACATCCCAGCGACGGATGTTTCACCTGATCTACCTGTCTCTTGACGGTGAAGAAACGTCATTGGACTTTAAATTGGACTCTAGTCAATCAGCGAGTGGATTGTACCGGGCTATTACGGAAAAGCATGCCTTTTACAGCTGTGAAACCGTCAGGAGCGCCGTCACTGCTCAGTTTATACGTGATCTCAAGGTAATAGTCATTATTAATGTGGTAAGATACCTACAATAGACTGTAGAAGAACGAAATCTAGATAAATAACAAAAGTCTTAAGAGATCCAAGGCAAAATAATATATAAGAATGTAAATAAATTGTACTTAGTATAACGTCTCGGTATCATTTGTTATTCCAGGGAACTATTATTTCCATTTTCAACGAGGACTCTACTCTGGGTAAAAAATATGTCTTCGATATCCGCAGAACTTGCCGGGAGGTGTATGATAATGCACGAAGAGCGCTTTACTGTGAGGCTGTGAATATTGGGTTGCCAGAAGAAAGTCAACTTTTAGATAAGCATGACTGTGGAGATTGTGAAAATTCAAAGTGCAAGGTATAGTCTTTTGTTCTTATCTTTCATTTTCCTCATTCTGCTTCTCATAAATTCATTCACGTCTTTCTATTATATTATTATTATTATTATTATTATTATTATTATTATTATTATTATTATTATTATGGTATCGATCGATTGTTCTATAGAGATATACAAAATTAATAATTAAACTATCTCGTAAACATTTCAGGAGTCCCGAGAATGTCTTTCACGACTATTGGACGCAATGCTCTGCCGAATTTGCATGGATCGGAGCCTGGACACGGCATTGTTTCCATGCGGACACGCTGTTGCCTGTGTTGAATGTGCACGCCGTTGTGAACGGTGTCCCCTTTGTCGTGCCGATATCGATCACTGTAGAACGATTTATCTTCCAATAGAATTGGCTCACGTGGACACCACCAAACACAATATAAACAATAATCACAATAATAACGAAAACAACAGCCTCAAGCTATTGCCGATGGACAGCGGCGAGTCGACGCTCAGCATTAGTCAATCAGAAGATGTTATCAACCAAGCCAATCCGAGGAATGATACTGATATTGGCAATCACGTCATTTGAGATAGACCTGATAGATTTAGGTCCGTACTGTTGACCAGAATTTTACGGATTTTCACCTGCGGTGTCGAGCGCACTCATCAAGTTGGATAAAAACCCCACCAACTTAAATAATTAATAATTAGTTAATAACACTAACAACTATTATTAAATAATCATTTATCATCATAGTCATATGCTTTTATCATGTAACAATATCTATTTATGTGATGTGATCTTTTTTATATTTCGATTCATACCAATTTAACATTTAAATATATTTTAGGGTAATATTATTATTATTATTATTATTAATATTTGACAATCTATACATAATTTTATTTATATATTCTAATTATAATTATAATTATTGATAATATGATTAGATCATTTTTCTTATATTTAAGAACTTGTTGACTATTGATACACTTTTTTAGTTTAAAATTGATTAAATGGATTATGTGTGCACTTTTTTACGCTGTGATTATAGTTTGGTGTTGAAATAGAGATTATATTGTGTAACAAAAAATATTGGAGGAAAAATATATAATTAAAAGTGCTAAAGTATGTAGAATTGGCGTCTGACGTTACGATATTGTTAGAAATTTAAATATAAACGGACCAATATTTTTTTTCTCGCTTTCATTATCAATTATTTATTAATATTATTGTTATTATTATTATTTTTATTATTATTATTATTATATAATGATATATTAACAAACGAGAAAAAGAAAATGAAAAAAAAAAAAAAAAAGAATTTCTCGTCAGCTTCATTTATATTCACTATTTTTTTCTTAGTAGTGACTTTAATTAAATTCACGACTGAACATTACGAAAAATGTTTGGTCGTTCTTTCTAAAATATGGTGAATAAATTGTAGCCTTTCTTACTTACCATGATACGTGTATATTTGAATGTATATAAACAAGTTGGGTAAAATTAAATGTCGACGAAAAATATGAATCTACTTTTAATTCTAACGATTAAAACGAAACTAAATAATAAAAATAATAATAATAATAACAATAACTCATCAAGTAGCGTAAATGTCTGAGCATTTTTTGTCTGCTGGCAGTAAATGATAACAGTGGAGACTGAAAGAATGTAAAAAAAAAAAAAGGAACGAATGATTTTATTCAAATATACAGCGAGCCCAGGAATAATAATAAAGATAACATCTTAATTTTAAATTGTTTATTAATTAACTTTAAAATAGCATTAATTAAATAAGCTAAAAACTTTTAAAAAGTATGGCGATCGTTATAGTCATCCATCAATGCAATCAATATTTAATTTTAATTAATATTATTATTATTACCGCAACTACAATAAGAATTATATGTATATATTTTATTTGCACAAAAAAAAATAATCTATTGACTAGCTCTGCTATTTTATCTTTTATAATTTTTATCACGACTCATCAATATCATTAATAAATGTTTATTGATATGATTAATATACATGTATCGATAATATTAATGTTGATATAAATTAATTAACTATTTCTTGTGATTATCTAGACATATGGAATGAATATAAGTATCGTTTAGTGTGTAGAGCCACCAAATGGCAAAAAAATAAAAAAAAAAAAACAATTATATATAAATATATAATACACACTTAAGAAAAAGAGATTACCAAAATCGTATCTCGTATATACATAGTATATTAATATTAATAATAACAATAATTCAGATTGTCGTTTGCAAAGAGTATTTTTAAAGTATTTTCAATTATTTTTAGTATTACGCCAATTGTGGTGTTAAATACAAGCGAGTCAAAGAATAAATTTTCTCATAAAAAAAATATACAAAATGCATAATAAATAAATAAATAAATAAACAAATATATCATAAAAAAAATAATACTGTACACACGGCCTGTTTCAATATAATATAAAACAATGTGACAGATAATCGTTGTCTCGCGTTATTCAATAATTAATAACCCCTATACTCCCGTTTTATATTTAGTAGTATCCTGCTGCCAACTAATCAGACTTATCGCATTAATTATTTCGGAATAAAATTTTTAATTATTCATTATTCATCAGTAGTATCGATTTTACCTCTATTAATAGATAAAAAAAAAAAAAAACTGAGTAAAAACGTCCATAAAAGGATGACAAGTGCTAAGTCGGTTTGGTTGGGGATAAAAGTAAGTACTAGTACGCGAGTAAGTATATTATTGTATTGAGCCTTGGCTTATTATTATATTGCATATATCTAGTAAGTAGTATAGCACTTGAGTATGTTATGTGGGTTTTAAAAAATTATAAAATTCAAATAACCCGCGCCGGCGATGAAAGTACAGCCATCTTGGTATTTGAAGGTGCGCGCGCATAGAAGGAGCGCTCTGATTGGCGAAACGGCCAGCTCTGTCATATGATGAAGTTGCGTGGCATCATGGGAAACGAATTGCAATTCTGCAACATGGCGAAGATCTAAGCCGAAGTCGCGGTACTGAATCTTGTTAAAATGTGTACTTCCTAGTGAGCCACGGATATTTTTCACTATTTATACCTTAATAACGAGATAATAGGTGTGTTTAGAAGTTATAAAGGGTATTTAGAGTGTCGAATAATGTGTATAACAGCTTATAACCGACTAAGGAAGGTGACACCCAACAGCTCGGTGTGGTGCATAAGCACGTATGCCAGTTACTAGAAAGCAAGATAAGAGAGGTGAAGATAGTCCGGGTGCTCGGAATAATTGGCTATTTTCCATCGCTCAGGACCTACCTAAGCTATGTTGCGGGCATCGCCTCGACAAATTAATAGTGTGAGTGCTTAGTAATATTATGCATTTAAAAGTTATCTTAAACGTGTGCTCGAAACAAGACAGCTTGCGTGTGTTTCTCGTTATACTCGTTATTCGTTAGTTGGTTCGTTCATCCGTTCTTCATTTCGTTTCGTTTTACGTGGGTATTTCGGTAGCCAACAATTCCCGTCTTGGCTTCTGTCCTCTACCACATTCTATCTCCTAAACGTATTATCCTACTCGCTTGTCGTTTCCTCAGGTTACCCCTTTGGCTTTTCTTTAAAGATAACCTCGGTCACATCATTACACTTTAACCTATGACCGGGATTCCTCATCGCCACGACTCTTGATCAATTCTCTATGCCCCGATTACCCCAATCTTTATCACCGATCAACAATCGACCAACACCACCACACTCAATTTTATTTTTTATTTTTTTTTTTTTTTTTTTAATCACCAAAATATTATCACCATTACTCACATCTCCATTTTATTTATATTTATATTCATATTTTTTAATTCATTTTTCAGTGTCATAATAATCTACTGTTTGGTTAAATATTTCTGTGTGACAAGAGTTTTATCATATCAACCTGGCTTGGCATACTAGCCCTAGCTCACTGATAGTTGGTGTCCATCGGAGCAATCTATTTTATTATTTATAAAATTATTGGTCGGCTCTAGTCTTCTTTATACTGAGAATACTCTATCGTTTAAAATAAGGTCACAGATGTGACCAAATATTCACATCAGTCATCAGTGTCATCGTACTATAATAATATGTTTGTGTTTGACTATGTACTCTCTGTACACATTATATTACAACACTCACATGTACAGATATATATATATATATATATATATATATATTCAATAATAATTACTCGTTCGATTGGATTGCATCGGAATTTTTATAAATTAATAATTCTTCACGGAGATTGTCGACACACGTTTTATTTTAATAGTCGTCTTTATTATTGTGGTATTTAAAAGAATTATTTTTAAAAATAAATAATGTATATTATAATTGTCACACAATATTTTTGTTTAAATTAAAAGTATTTTAATTCTTTATTTTAGTTGAACTATTATCAAAAATTTTAATAAATTAAAAAGCCACAGCAATAAAAAAAACGATGCTTAAAAATTTAATATCAATATTAATGATAATAACTAATGTTTAATAACTCATAATATTGATTAGTACTTAATTATTTTTCAGATATGCATCGTATAAAAATAATATTGGTGATCTCATAACGCTCACCGATACCATAACGACGCGTGGCATGAATTTTTAACGGCTTGCCTCGCAACGAACAAATGGTTTCCTGACATGATGGACAGCAAGTTGTACGTAAAGAATGAGCCGGGACTTGAGGGGCAATCACTTGTAAACTCCCAGCAAAATCAATTGGGCGTGGATGACAGTGGTGGAGGTTCAAGAGTATGTTTTGTCTGCGGCTCGCTCGGTCACACCGATTACTGGTTACGAGTAAAACCGGTGCCTGGAGGAGCGCCCAACGAACCATTTTTTCCCTTTCTGGAGACACATGAGCAACCAGCGGCTTATCGCGGCGAGGGTGCACGATCAGGTGTCGTCAGGTCCTGCAGCTTGTGCTACACGCTGTTGATGCAGCAATGGGAAAACTACGAGAGACAGAGCCAGCCCCACAGCCAGCGAATCTACTGGATGAAAAGGTGCGACGGTGGACCGTTCACCGGGGCAGAGATGGCTCTGCAGGGTGAATACGCGGCCCAAATTCTGGGGCTGTCCAACGACCAGCCGCTTCCGGGCAGACAGGAAACCGGCAGCCGTCCAGCCGTAGGTATGTCTCCGCGTTTGCCTCAAAATTCGCCCTCGCCAAGAGTTGTCGAGCAAACGAGGCCGCCTTCGAACTCGATAGAGCTGCCACGACCACACTCAAACACCGCCGAAACTGCCAGGCATATTGAACAAGTTAGACTAACTATGGAGTCACCGCATCAACGGCTCCAGTCACCGCACCAGCGGTTACAGAGTCCACGTCAACCGGTTGTTGAGCCAGAACCACGTGTTGTTTCAAATGAAGCTGCATTAGACCTCAGACACGCTCCGAGAAGTTCACCCGCGCCTCAACCCGCCATGCCTCCATCTCAACCTCAAGGTAATTACATCTTTAATTCCATTAGCTCCAGCCCGGGCTCTATCGCTGTTGAACGTTAGTAAAATATTTTATTTTGAACTTGCGTTCGACGTTAATGTCATTATTATGTAGTTTGACAGTTAGTTAGCTAGTTTAATTTATGTTTAGATAAAAGAGGTATTATTTTAAATGTTAATTGCTATCGTACCAGTAATTCTAGAATTTATGCTAGATGCACTAAAATTAATCTATTTTAAGAGAATACTTATGTATAATAGTTTTATTGTAATTCATTAAAATAACTGATAATTAAACTCATTACTTTTGTTAAAAATCAAAGTAACATTGTCATGACTAATATAAAAATTTAATTATGTGTATTTAATATTATTTAAATTTTTTAACTTTTACTTTAAGTTAGTATTGTTAAAAAAAAAAAAACGATACATGTTAACAATAATAATTAATAATGTATACAAAGTCTGTCGGACATAATTTAACGAGAAGCATGTGCGTAAGCTTTTGATCAGACATGGTCTGGTATGATAGCTGGTGCGATGCTGCTACTCAGTAGCAATAGTTGTCTTCTTTAATTGTTGAATTGACCTGTTGGGGTCAAGTGGATCTTTATCTCTATAAGGTCAGCCGGTCAGATTAGGTCGCCAATTTTACGGTAGTCAAAGAATCATCTGTTTGCAAGATAAATTTATACTGATGCACAAAAGTGCATTCGCTCAAAGTAAACGTCAACTTATATTAACAGTATTTATTTGAATGACGTCAAGCTGCCGAAATGTTATTGCTTCAATACATACTTGTATGTTTGATGATTATTATAATATACTATGTTAATTTTTTAAATGTTATGCAATGTTACTTATTTTTATTTTTATTTAAATATATGACTTATTGCGGAAAAGTATCTTTTCTCGAATAATGTACAAAATAAGTAAATGTAATTTAACAACATGGAATATTTGTAAATTTTTATTGTAACTATTGATACCATTGATAGTTTTGTATTATTGATAGTAGAAGAAATAGTGGTAGTATTAGTTGTTGTTGTTGTTGTTACAGTTGAAGTTGTTAATTTATCGTTGACTCTAAAATTGATTATATACCGGGTGGTAACCCTTTTAATATGTATCCGTGATAAAATTACTATTGTTGTTATATTATAAACAATCAAATCAAATCATCATTGTAACAATATTATATTTACATTGGCCTTAGTATTTTCCGCCGATAAATGTCAACGTTCGTAAGTAAAGGTTAACAGTATTCACTGATAAAATAGTCGAGGGTCAATTCAATAAATACGACAGCATGACATTATATCGTTAGTTTTGATATTGAAAATTTTAATATATAAACACGATATTATTATTGCTATTGATTTATTGTTATTTATTTTAATCATTATTATTATTATTAATGTAATAGTTTGTTTTATTATCGATAAAACTAGGCCACGTGCATTTACCATCAGTAAGTGAGAGACATCTCATTTAGCGTATGTAAGATATTAAGGCAATTAGCAAGTTTAAAAATAGAGCCATTTATTTTTACTGTGCTTACGAAGCTAATTCTCCTTCTTCTTCTTTAACTTTTTCTTTCTTTGTTTATTGTTTTTATTTATTTATTTAATTATTTAATTAATTAATAAACTCATATAATAAAAATTTATTATTTTTTCAGTAATTTACAGCGGAGGTTCAACTTCGAGTACCGGCACAGATATCCTGGACCTGTCGATGCCAGACAAAAATTCAATGACTGAAGTATGTTACGTCTGCGGTGATGAGTTCAAAAAAGGGTCTCTTAGTCACATAGCAGCGAAGCCACTGCCAACGCCGCCACCACCGCATCCTTCGAGCAGTCCTCCACCGTTTTTCCCCTCGTTGATGCTGCACCCGCGACCGAGCAAAAGTCGGCCTATGGACAGTGCTGGGCGTGTTCAGGTACTATTTGCTATTTTTTAAATTATTTATTAATTAATTATTACTCTCAAGTCAAATAAAAATATATGTATAATATTTTCAGGCTTGCTCGGCATGTCAAAGTCACCTGTTACTCCAGTGGAAAACGTATACACGACAAGGTATACCGCATAACGAACGTAATTACTCATTGAGGAAACGTCAAGCTCCGACAGTAGACCCAACAACATTTATTTGTTATACGTGTGCATTGGAGTATCCCTCGTCCAGTATTAGACTATTGTACTGCTGTCCGAATCCGGAAAAAGAAGCGTACTTTCCGTTTATTACGACGATACGACCGCCACCAGGAGCTAGTCCTATAAGTCCTCAGGGGATGGTACAAGTTTGTTCCATCTGTTATAAAGCCATACCCCAAAAACAGCAAGTTTTTGGTGGAGAAAATAATGAAACTCAACCGATAAGTTCCCAACCGGGTACTGATTTTCGTCAACAAGGTTTGTTTTTACTCCTTAATTATTACCAATTTATTCTGATAGTAATTAATAAATAACACAGTGATAACGAGATTGCAAAATAATAATAATAATTAATAATAAACGATAATTATTATTACAGGGCCATCTCCACGACCTGTTGTCGCAAAATCCCCAGCAAATTCAGCTGGTAGCGATATTCGATTTAAACCATATGATTTAAATAAAACAACAAGTGTAGTGAGTAATAAACCACGGAGTGCCAATGTTAAAATAGCAAGTTCTGCTCAGCGAAATTCACCGAGCAATGCACCAGCGGAAAATGGTAATGTAACAGTTGGACAAAATTATCGGTGCTATATTTGTGAACGACTGTATCCTCGAAACCAAATGGAGTGGTGAGTAATAAAAATAAAATATTAATGATCATATATATTCAATATACATTGTTAAATAAATTGAGCATATTGAGCATACTGAATTTAGATTTATACAAATGACTCGTTATTATTTTTAGGCTATCAACGAGTCCTGAAGGCATGAATTCTCATGCTATGCACTTTCCCTGTTTGAGAGGGATGGCACGTACTTCTGAGAATTCCTGTATGGACAGTCATGGTAGAGTTTTAGCCTGTAGTCACTGTGTCAATCATTTAGCACAGCAGTGGGAGTGCATGGATGCCGACCGCGTTCCTCTAGAGCAACGAAGGTAATAATTTAATAGCTCTCTCTCTCTCTCTCTCTCTCTCTGTTTTTATTTTTAATGCTTATTCATTAATATTAATTAGTATAAGCCCCTACAGAATGCCGCTTAATTACTAACATGTAAATAATTGTGCATTTCAGATATGATATTCCTAGTCCACACCCAAATGGCGATGTTAATCGTGCAATAGCAACACCGCCAAGTTCAAATTCAGATCGCACATTTATCAGCAATCCTGGTACATCGAGCAGCTCGATTTACTGTTTTTTCTGTGGTCTTCATAGTGATTTAACGTTAGCGCGTGTACTGTACAGTAGACCGCAAGGTCGTAATGCACCTTTCTTTCCTGAATTACTGCGCCATCAGTCCCCAAAAAATGCCGAGCAACTGCGTGAAGATGGCTCGGCCCTCGTTTGTACTTTTTGTTATCACACATTATTGGCGCAGTGGCGAAAATACGAATCACAGTCGACTGGCCAGCAGATAAGTGCATCTGACAGACAGTACAATACCCACGATTACTGGTGTTACGTTTGCGGTATTACAACATATCGCAAGAGAGTAAGAGCATTGCCTGTCAAGGACTTTCCATTCCTAAGGTATCATCGTCAACCGGAAAAAAGTTTGCTGTTGGAGAACGGTGATTTTGCTGTTGTATGCTTAGATTGCTACGAGACATTAAGGACACAAAGTATCGAGTACGAAAGGTGGGGCTTGCCTGTTGAAAAGAGAGAGTATAATTGGATTGTACAACCTCCGCCTCCGGAAGATAGTCCGGATGCTGCTATTGCTAGATTGCCATCTGGTGAACGTTCTGAAAAAGCGGTTCGTTTAATTATTATAATTATTAATTTTATTAATAAACTTTTTTTTATTTTTAACGAATAATTGTCGAAAATTTTATTTATTTATTATTATTATTATTATTAATACAGGTACCACCGTCATTAACTATTAAACCGGCCCGTAAAAATTGCTCGCCGAAAGCACCAGAGAAAAAACCAACCGTAAAGTTACCAGAAAAAGAGCAGTCAGGCAAGTAACAAAAAGCATTATTTTATCTGATAAGATATAAAATACGACAAAGTAGCTTTTAAAAATTAAATTCCTCGTATCTTAAAGTTACAGATTTTCATTTATGAGTTTTAATTGAATATTCAATCTCTCTCTAGTCTAAGTCGTTTCCCTGTAAATAACAGGTGGCGTCAGCGGCAAAAACTTTTTGAATGGCTTAGTTGCCATGCTATTATCGCAAATTGAATTATCTCGGGTATATAGTCAACATTGCAGTTTTTAAATTAAAACGTTCTACTGGCTGTGGGACGTGACAAAAAAGACCTGTACTTTTATAATATAATAGAATCTCTTTTATTTATATTTATATTTCTTATTCCGTATCTCTTTTTCTTTTTTTTCTCTCTCTCTCTCTCTCTCTCTCTCTCTCTATCTTACTTTGTGTCACTTTAAAGTCTTATTTCTTATGTATACTCACAACAAGTTCAAGTAAAAGCAGGAAAAATATTAAAAACTCCGATATTTGCTGGTATTCTCGGGTTATCTTGTAATATTTTAACGTTATCAACGTCTCGCAGAGCATACTCCGCCTCTCGGGACCACTCTGACCCCTAACGAATACTGTGACCCGTAAAAAAACAACTTTTTATTTATATTTGTATTTTATTATTATTATTATTATTATTATTATCATAATCATTATAAGTGATAAACTTGTAACTCAAGATAATCTTTGACCTATGGAATTCTCAGTGATAATAATTGGCATTACTCAATTGTTAAACTTGTTACTTATCGATAGAACGATTAAATAACAAAACAATTGTCAGAGTGATAATATGGAGCATATGAGGTATTTAAATCACCCGATCGTTCATCCGGATTTCTGAAGATAGTAGTATCATATACATGAATGAGGAAATAAGATTGATAGGTCGGAAGCAAAAGAAGGTGACTAGGGTGAAGAGACTAAATGCCCGCAGCGTGACACCGCATTGCGCCCGCACTTAGCAACCCAGCCGACACCTAAATGCGAATTAGAGAAGGGTAGTTCCAGTAGTAGTAGTAGTTGTACTAGTAGTAGTAGTACCAGCCAGCAGACGTGGCGGTAGCTTCTCTTCAGGCTTCAAGACTCGTCAGCTCTCACTCCTGATATGCTTCTGTCTATTCTGCTTGCTCTGGTTTTACTGATCGTTGAGACCAACCAGAGCGCGTTATGTATACACATATACGTGTGACGTGTGTCCCTCTTTCTCTCTATTTTTCGTGGCCCCTCTCACCCTTGGCTCCCTTCACCGCAACCCTCTTTATCCTCTCACATTACGACCACGAGGGGAAAAGGTCTGGTTGTTCCTGCCCTTGGCAATCGATATCAACGTCGGATATTGAAGGCAACTCGCCGCTCGTTTTCTCACCCTCTATTCATATGTATAGTAGATTTATACCTTTTTTTTTTTCCTTTATTTTTTCATTATTTTTGCTATTATTGTTATTCTTATTTTGCTCTACACGTATAACAAGAGTTATTTCAAATGTCAAGCTGCTTAGAGCTTACCGTTGAGCCGGTGAATATAAATCCTTTTTTTTTTTTTTTTTTTTTTTTTTTTTTTTTTTAATCTTACAAGTTAAATTAATAGATGTTATTAGTTGACGTCGTCGTCAAAAGTGAGAAAACCAATGAGTTTATAAGGAGCAGGAACGAGAGAAGAAAAAACAAAAAATAAAAAAGAAAAATAGTGTGAAAGAAGAAAAGGGGTCGATGATGATGGTGGTGAGTGGGCTTGGTGTAGAGAGGGGTGGATGCGGGCTGCCCGCGTTTAAGGGGAGAACTTGCCTGTCGCTGGCATAGCACTAGGCATTGATTTTACGCGACAGACAAACACTGTTGGGCTTTTTCATGTCTCTTTTATAAGTCGCGTATGTTATTCTTTTACACCTTTTTTTATTATCATGCGTAATAATAATAATACTTAAAAAAAAACATATTTACTTACACAAAGTATTATATGTCATTATATTTATTATTATTGTAATTATGTATTCATCAGAGCTACCTGACAATTATTATTTAAATTAATTATAACCCTGCGCCCTTTGACAACAGTAAATATTTTTGAGTCGCTACGCTTGAGCAGCGTCAAAGGGGTAGTTTCATTTTTGAGCACAATACAATCCACTCAAAATAAAAAACTAACGGTGGGTGTGTTCATACCACCACAATTGAAAGCAATGAAAGTCGCGGGGGAGGCTCAGACGGTAGCAAATAAAAGCATAAATAAAAATAATAAAAAGTAATAATGGAGATTTCAGAGAGCTGAGAATTAAAGTCAACGAGGAGAATGTATCGAGGGGCCAGTGTGCCCTCGTAACAGTAATAGGGAGCTGATTGGTGGGTGCGTGTCGCTTCAGCGCCAGATGTTAAGCCTTCGCACTAGTCGAACGATGGTTATGCAACGGAAGGAACCTAAAAAGCATCACAGGGAACACACACTCCAATATCAAGACCCGTCAGCTGCTTTATTTAACTTCCTCTCATCCGTTCTATCAGATCAACCACATAAAACTGAGCAAGCCAATAAATCCTTGTGATATTAATGATAATGATAATTTGATAATAAAACAACAAATACTGATGTGAATTATATTATCCAGAAGCAGGAGTCAGGAAGAGTATAAAAGGAGGAAGGACGATAAACGCGAGATCAACGAGTGGCAAGATGTGATGCTGGAGTGCCGGTACAAGTAAAGCACATCCCACCCGCGGATTGAGGATTGAGGATGCATTTGTTGCGCAAGCGTTTGTCGCTGAATGAGATCGAGCACCACCTTCACCTCCTTCCTCAACATCACCACCACTACTATTAACTACAACTACAACTACTATTACTATTTTTACTCGATATTATAACAACGGGTACGATAATGTCAGCACACATGCACCCCTCGCGCATGCGTCTCTTGGGTTCTGCCCCTCTCCTGTTCGAGTGTGTGGAACCCTCGTTGTGAGACGGGGAGACAACTCGCGAGCTTGCCAGTCTCGCGCCGCGACTCACCCTTTCGCGCGCGATGTCACTCTTTTCATACTATTTTAATTCAACAATATAATAGAACTTATTTATTGCGTGTTTTAAACTCCCACTGTAGTGAGTCATCGTGTGTGTACTTTATGTCTTTTTGGTCATGCATTTAATTTTGCACTATATGGCCTCTTGTCTCGTCTCAAAATCTCCATATGCAAAATAAATACTCATAATTATTATCACTTTATTTTTAACGTCCGAGTATTTATAAATTAAATTTTTTTTTTTTTAATTTTATTTATTGTAAGTTTTTACCGCCAATCCCAATTATTTTTCGTTGAATAGATTAATATGTAATATATATATATATATATATATAGATAGATATACCAGCGATAAATTGGCGGTGTGTACGTGACGGGTGAACATGAGTAATCGATCTTTTTCAAGTGTTCAAGTGTGTTAGTTTTATTACAGTCGCGGTGTTTAAAAAATTAATAACAATTACAAATACCAAGATTTAATGAGCTTAAACGACTGTTTAAATTTAAAAAAATATTTGGTATAATTTAAATTAGTGAAATTTTAGTTTAGTGCCGGTATGGTGATCCGTGAAGTGAAGATAAATACTCTGAAGAAATTAACCACCGATTATTTATTTATGCAATACAATAGTGATTGATTTAATCGAAATCGGTATTTATTTTTAAATTCTGACAACTGGTGGGCTAAATAAAAAAAGTCACAGCGAAATAATGGATTTTCGCGCTCCTCATCCCCTAGTTCATCCGCTCCACAATGGCCACCCGTATTATAATTACTCAGGTATATTTATTAATTTAAAAATAATTTATACGAGCAGATTTATTTTATCTGACACACAAAATGAAATTTGTGTTGTTTAATTTTATTTAAATAACTGTTTGCACAGTATTTTCTTTATCTCTGTATTATGATTAATTGAGCGTATAATTAAACAGAAATTGGTGGTAAATTGAGCGAGAGATAACGCGGTATAATTAACGTCAGTATGTTGAAATATAAATATAAATATTGAATATAAAAGAAAAAAAAAAGTAAATAAATAATAAGAGTATTACTGGGTAAAGTAATTTCGCATTTCACGGAGCCAGCAACTGTCCCATCCATCAATCGTCATGTGTCAAGGCTGGCAAAGTCTATTCGTCAACACGTTCAACAAGTGCGCGAACTCTGATAAACAGTAAATGTCATTACTCATCAGCCCGTCAATTATTGCAGTACATTTATACATTTGATACTCAGAGTTTGCTCTGCATTAAACGTCTCAGCAATTTCTCGGCAATTACACTCTAGGCATTTATATCAATAAAATTATTAACCGCCTTCGAGGACAATAAAAGACGATAATATACAACATGTCTGCATACTCAATTCTAAGTACTACATACTCAAAACTCTAATAATAATTTAATAACATTTTAGTGGCAGTCTGGCCTTCTTTCACTGAGTCGCTATTGCAGCTTTAACTTAAATATAAATTTAACTTTAACTTTATTGCTGAGCAAACAAACAAAAAAGCTCTCAATTATTGTTCTTGTTTTTCATAAGGACACCATCAACTGGTCAACAAATTATTACTGTTGAGATTAAGCTTTCATTTTTGACGTTTTCTGTAGAAAACAACAAACACCACTTTACTTGCTATTCTTTGTAATCAACAGAGGGATGCTTTATTTCAACAAGCCTTTGTCTTGTCCGTCCATCCTCTTTTGCATTCAACCAAGTGAAGTAAAGCTTGCTGGACTTTTCATAAGACTTATGCAAGTACTTAGTTCACCCTTCATGGTTTCATCCCCGGAATTTACTCGTGAATTTCAAATTATAGAAAAAAATTGTAGTTCATTTTCAAAAAATTTTATTTGATATTTAAGTTCATATTTTTAAACTATGAATAATTGACATTTTTATTACAATAGTAAAATTTAAAGTTACTCATTTGTCAAAAATTTAATAATGCAAGTATAATT